GNNNTNCGGTTCAAGGCTCAACGGGTTACTAGTGAAAATATAAGTTCAAGGGTCAATGAAAGGCTAAAACGAGCTATGTCAAAGAAATGCCTCAATCATTTTCACAAATCACAACTTCAATCACTTCATTTCAAAACAAACTCAAAGCAAGTTCTGATCAACATAAATTTCGACCAATGACTCTCAAGAAAAAACATAAGGCTCAAACCTCGCAAAGGGTAAATAAATGCTCAACAAAACGACACATCGAGTTCATCAAGGCATACTAGTCATGGTCATCATCACATCTCCTCAACATCGTCAACAAACATCAACAAATCTTAAAATTCACCATAATCCATACTCGCAAAACACACAAACTGACTCACGAAAAGACACTAGAATAAAAGCAGAAAATGAAATAACCTAAAAGAACTAGACCTGGTCAACCACATAAGGCACATAATTCATGCAAAAACTCCCCCACACTTAAAACCGAACAATGTCCCCATTGTCGATCATCAGTGCAAGGAAAGTCTACCCATATAATCAACCAATCACAAAGACAGAAAAAACCAAAACAAAAACAAAAATAAGGAGAAGGGAGAAGATACAAGCGTACATGGCACAGTGACTAGACTAGTCACTGTGAGTCCGGTGGTGCGGGCGGAGAGTGGAGGTAGTCGAGCCCGAAACAGCGACGGGCCTCTGTCAACTCGAATCTTTCGCCCTATTCGGATCGGGGCAGCTCTCTGGAACTCGTCTCGGGAGGGGTAGTGTGGCTGTCGGTTTGGCGTCCCATCTCGATGTGGTCACGGTCCTGCAACAACCTCTTCGTGTACTCTCGCATACACGCTTCCTCAGTCAACTGCTCAATTGCCCTAAGGGACATGCATTCTTCCACAGATTTTGCTTGCAGATCAGGCTGGGTCTCTCGAACGGAAATTGAAATTGATTCTTCCAATACGGTCATGCACGCGGTTCCCTTCTTCACATCAATGACTGTGCCGGTGGTCGCCATAAAGGGTCGTCCGAGGAGGATAGCGTGCTCCTTACTGTTTTCTTGTGCGTTACCCACATCAAGCACCACAAAGTCCACGGGGACTATCAGTTTCCCCACACGGACGAGCACATCCTCCACAATCCCTTCCGGATGACGGAACGAACGATCTGCAAGCTGTAAGCGCATCCTAGTGGGCTTCAAATCTCCAAGCCCGAGCTGATGATAAACAGCGAGTGGCATAAGATTAATGCCAGCACCGAGATCAAGCATTCCCGAAACAGCCTGACCACTCCCAAAAGCTATATTGATCACAAAGCCACCAGGATCTCTTTCTTTCTTCGGTAAGTAGTGTTGGAAGACACTCGCCGCTTCACAAATTACCACCTCATCATTATTGTCGAACCGCTTCTTGTTCGTGGCCACCTCCTTGAAAAATCGTGCATGGGCCGGTATTTTCTTCG